ATCCTCTCCTCAAACCCTCAGATCCATTTCTGATCCTTTTTTTCCCCTCAATCCACCCCTCACTCCACCCTGCTCCTCACAGCACGTCCATCCTCCCCATGCTTCCTCCACCCAAGAACAAATCCGGGATTAATTCCTGGAAATTCACCAAAACCTCCTTTTTTTGCCCCATAAAAATGAGCAATTCCCATGGGATGGGACAACGGGGACCTGCTCACACCCAGAGGAGCCGGGGGACATCTGGGGGGGCTCTCATGGCCCCAAAACCTCTGCAGGGCCTCTCTCCACCTTGGCACCGCCACCCTGGTGCCGCTGCTCCCGCCGTGGCCACGCAGGGCTGGAGCTCCACCGGCTCCTCCCAGCCTCTGCTGAGGGCTCCCCCCAAAATCCCAAAAGGGGGAGAATTGTCCCCAAAGCAGGCGGTGGCGGGGGTCTTGTGGCATGGGGCTTTGGGGAGACACCGAGGGTGAGCTCTCCTGGCATCTGCAAGGATTTGGGAGGGTCTGAGGTCCTCTCCTGGCATCTGCAAGGATTTGGAAAGGTCTGGGTGTCCTCTCCTGACATCTGCAAGGATTTGGAAGGGTCTGAGGTCCTCTCCTGGCATCTGCAAGGATTTGGAAAGGTCTGGGTGACCTCTCCTGACATCTGCAAGGATTTGGGAGGGTCTGGGTGTCCTCTCCTGGCATCTGCAAGGATTTGGGAGGGTCTGGGTGTCCTCTCCTGGCATCTGCAAGGATTTGGGAGGGTCTGGGTGTCCTCTCCTGGCATCTGCAAGGATTTGGAAGGGTCTGAGCCGCATCTCCAAGGCTTTGGGACGGTCTGGGTGTCCTCTCCTGGCATCTGCAAGGATTTGGAAGGCTCTGAGATGTCCTGAGGTCTTCTTCTGGCATCTGCAAGGCTTTGGAAGGGTCTGGGTGTCCTCTCCTGGCATCTCCAAGGCCTTGGGAGGGTCTGAGCTGCATCTCCAAGGCTTTGGAAGGATCTGAGATGAGCTGAGGTCCTCTCCTGGCATCTCCCAGGCTTTGGGAGGGTCTGGGTGTCCTCTCCTGGCATCTCCCAGGCTTTGGGAGGCTCTGAGCTGCATCTCCAAGGCTGTGGGAGGCTCTGAGGTCCTCTCCTGGCATCTCCCAGGCTTTAGAAGGCTCTGAGCTGCTGGAGGTGATGGATCCCACGGAGGTGACAGCTCCAAGGTCCTGGCAGGGACATCCCAGGCTCCAGGGCCACCAGGCTGAGGTGACAATTCTGGAAGTGGCTCCTGTCCCCACCTTGGAGCGGGCCGGGATCCTCAGGGAAGAACGTCCAGAACCACCCAGGGAGGCTCCTTCAAACCTCAGGAGATCCCAAATCCCACCAGGAGGCTCCTTCAAACCTCAGGAGATCCCAAATCCCACCAGGAGGCTCCTTCTACCCTCAGGAGATCCCAAATCCCACCAGGAGGCTCCTTCAAACCCCAGGAGACCCCAAATCCCACCAGGAGGCTCCTTCAAACCCCAGGAGACCCCAAATCCCACCAGGAGGGTCCCTAAAACCTGAGGAGATCCCAAATCCCACCAGGAGGCTCCTCCCAGCCTCAGGAGATCCCAAATCCCACCAGGAGGCTCCTTCAAACCTCAGGAGACCCCAAATCCCACCAGGAGGGTCCTCCCAGCCCCAGGAGATCCCAAATCCCACCAGGAGGCTCCTTCCAGCCCCAGGAGACCCCAAATCCCACCAGGAGGCTCCTTCAAACCTCAGGAGATCCCAAATCCCACCAGGAGGCTCCTCCAAACCCCAGGAGATCCCAAATCCCACCAGGAGGGTCCTTCAAACCTCAGGAGATCCCAAATCCCACCAGGAGGGTCCTTCAAACCCCAGGAGATCCCAAATCCCACCAGGAGGGTCCTTCAAACCTCAGGAGATCCCAAATCCCACCAGGAGGGTCCTTCAAACCCCAGGAGATCCCAAATCCCACCAGGAGGCTCCTTCAACCCCAGGAGATCCCAAATCCCACCAGGAGGGTCCCTCAAACCCCAGGAGATCCCAAATCCCACCAGGAGGCTCCTTCAAACCTCAGGAGATCCCAAATCCCACCAGGAGGCTCCTTCAAACCTCAGGAGATCCCAAATCCCACCAGGAGGGTCCTTCTACCCTCAGGAGACCCCAAATCCCACCAGGAGGCTCCTTCCAGCCCCTGGAGATCCCAAATCCCACCAGGAGGTTCCTTCTACCCTCAGGAGATCCCAAATCCCACCAGGAGGGTCCCTAAAACCCCAGGAGACCCCAAATCCCACCAGGAGGCTCCTCCCAGCCCCAGGAGATCCCAAATCCCACCAGGAGGCTCCTTCTACCCTCAGGAGATCCCAAATCCCACCAGGAGGCTCCTCCCAGCCCCAGGAGATCCCAAATCCCACCAGGAGGCTCCATCCAGCCCCAGGAGATCCCAAATCCCACCAGGAGGGTCCTTCAAACCCCAGGAGATCCCAAATCCCACCAGGAGGCTCCTCCAAACCCCAGGAGACCCCAAATCCCACCAGGAGGGTCCCTAAAACCTGAGGAGATCCCAAATCCCACCAGGAGGCTCCTTCCAACCTCAGGAGACCCCAAATCCCACCAGGAGGCTCCATCCAGCCCCAGGAGATCCCAAATCCCACCAGGAGGCTCCTTCAAACCTCAGGAGATCCCAAATCCCACCAGGAGGCTCCTTCAAACCCCAGGAGATCCCAAATCCCACCAGGAGGCTCCATCCAGCCCCAGGAGATCCCAAATCCCACCAGGAGGGTCCCTAAAACCCCAGGAGATCCCAAATCCCACCAGGAGGCTCCATCCAGTCCCAGCTGAGCCCAGCCTGGTTTGGGATCTTCAGCTTCCCTCAGCACCATCCCAGTGCCCACCCGGAGTGACAGTGACAGTGACACAGTGACAGTGACAATGACAGTGACAGTGACACAGTGACAGTGACAGTGACACAGTGACAGTGACACAGTGACAGTGACAGTGACAGTGACAGTGACACAGTGACAGTGACAGTGACACAGTGACAGTGACACAGTGACACAGTGACACAGTGACACAGTGACACAGTGACAGTGACAGTGACACAGTGACACAGTGACAGTGACAGTGACACAGTGACAGTGACACAGTGACACAGTGACAGTGACAGTGACAGTGACACAGTGACAGTGACAGTGACACAGTGACACAGTGACAGTGACACAGTGACAGTGACACAGTGACACAGTGACACAGTGACACAGTGACACAGTGACAGTGACAGTGACACAGTGACACAATGACACAGTGACAGTGACACAGTGACAGTGACAGTGACACAGTGACACAATGACACAGTGACAGTGACACAGTGACAGTGACAGTGACAGTGACAGTGACACAGTGACACAGTGACAGTGACACAGTGACAGTGACAGTGACACAGTGACAGTGACACAGTGACAGTGACAGTGACACAGTGACACAGTGACAGTGACAGTGACACAGTGACAGTGACACAGTGACACAGTGACAGTGACAGTGACAGTGACACAGTGACAGTGACAGTGACACAGTGACACAGTGACAGTGACACAGTGACAGTGACACAGTGACACAGTGACACAGTGACACAGTGACACAGTGACAGTGACAGTGACACAGTGACACAATGACACAGTGACAGTGACACAGTGACAGTGACACAGTGACAGTGACAGTGACACAGTGACAATGACACAGTGACAGTGACAGTGACACAATGACAGTGGCAATGACAGTGACACAGTGACACAGTGACACAGTGACAGTGACAGTGACAGTGACACAGTGACAGTGACAGTGACACAGTGACAATGACACAGTGACAGTGACAGTAGCAATGACACTGACACAATCACAGTGACAGTGACACAGTGACACAGTGACACAGTGACACAGTGACAGTGACACAATCACAATGACACAGTGACACAGTGACAGTGACAGTGACACAGTGACAGTGACAATGACAGTGACACAGTGACACAATGACAGTGACAGTGACACAGTGACAATGACACAGTGACAATGACACAGTGACAGTGACAGCAGGTGGCACCTTCCCCTCAAACCCCAAATGCCCCCACATTCCGCAGCAGAAGGAAACGGGCACCCAGACCTCCTGTGCACGGTGACAGGTGACACTGCTGTCCCTCAGGGTGTCACCAGCCCCTGGTGTCCCTCAGGATGTCCCCAGCCCCCCAGGTGACACTGCTGTCACTCAGGGTGTCCCCAGCAGGTGACACTGGTGTCCCTGAGGATGTCCCCCAGACTCCAGATCCTCCAGGCACGGGGACAGGGGAACAGTTGGTGGCACTCCCAATGTCCCCCAGACCCGCCAGGCATGGGGACAAGGTGACACTGGTGTCACCCTCAGGATGTCTCCAGCTCCCTGGCATGGTGACAAGGTGACACTGGTGTCCGTGAGGATGTCCCTCAGCCCCAGAGGTGACCCAGGTGTCCCTGAGGATGTCCCCAGTCCCTGGCACGGTGACAGTGGGGGTGACAGGGGTGTCACTCACGAGCAGGTCGAGGTGGTGGCGGTGCGGCAGGCGCTCGCAGTGCAGGCAGTCCCTGCTGTGTCCCCCGGGATGTCCCCAGCCCCCCCAGGTGTCCCCAGGATGTCCCCAGGATGTCCCAGGGTGTCACTCACGAGCAGGTCGAGGCGGTGGCGGTGTGGCAGGCGCTCGCAGTGCAGGCAGTCCCTGCAGTGTCACTCGGGATGTCCCCAGCCCCAGAGGTGACCCAGGTGTCCCCAGCCCCCCCAGGTGTCCCCAGGTGTCCCCAGGATGTCCCAGGGTGTCACTCACGAGCAGGTCGAGGCGGGTGGCGGTGCGGCAGGCGCTCGCAGTGCAGGCAGTCCCTGCTGTGTCCCCCAGGATGTCCCCAGCCCCAGGTGTCCCTGAGGATGTCCCCAGCCCCCCAGGTGTCCCCAGCCCCCCCAGGTGTCCCCAGGTGTCCCCAGGATGTCCCAGGGTGTCACTCACGAGCAGGTCGAGGCGGTGGCGGTGTGGCAGGCGCTCGCAGTGCAGGCAGTCCCCCCGGCAGTCCCCGCGCGCGCGGGCGCAGAGCCACAGCAGCAGCAGCAGCAGGTCCCAGAGCACGGCCCGCATGGTGACACCGCCTGCGGGGACATGGGGACATCAGAACATCACAAAGAGACCCAAGAAATCCCAAAACATCCCAGAGCACGGCCCGCATGGTGACAGCACCGCCTACGGGGACACACGGGGACATCAGAACCACTAAAATGATAAAATATCTCAACAATCCCCCAAAACATCCCAGAGCACGGCCCGCATGGTGACACCGCTGCCTGCGGGGACACACGGGGACATCAGAACCACTAAAATGATAAAATAACCCAGCAATGCCCCAAAATGTCCCAGAGCACGGCCCGCATGGTGACAGCACCGCCTGCGGGGACACACGGGGACATCGGGACACAGGAAATGATAAAATAACCCAGAAATGCCCCAAACATCCCAGAGCACGGCCCGCATGTGACACCGCCTGCGGGGACACACGGGGACATCAGAACTCCAAAAAATCCTGTGAAATTAAAAAATCCCAGAGCAGAGCCCTCATGGTGACAGCACCGCCCTGCGGGGACCCATGGGGACATCAGGACACTGAAAATCCAAAAGAGACCCAAGAAATCCCAGAAAGTCCCAGAGCATGGCCTGCATGGTGACAGCAACGCCTGTGGGGACCCATGGGGACATCGGGACACAGGAAATCATAAAATATCTCAACAATCTCCCAAAAAGTCCCAGAGCACGGCCCGCATGGTGACAGCACAGCCCTGCAGGGACACGGGGACACCAGGACACCAAAACATCCAAAAGAGACCCAAGAAATCCCAAAAAAATTCTGTGAAATTTAAAAAATCCCAGAGCACGGCCCTCATGGTGACACCAACGCCCTGCAGGGACAGACATGGGGACATCGGGACACTGAAAATCCAAAAGAGGCCTAAGAAATACGAAAAAATCCCGGAGCGCGGCCCTCATGGTGACAGCACCGCCTGCGGGGACACAGGGACATCAGAACTCCAAAACATCACAAAGAGACCCAAGAAATCCCAAAACATCCCAGAGCACGGCCCGCATGGTGACAGCACCTGCAGGGACACACGGGGACATCGGGACACCAAAAATCCAAAAGAGGCCCAAGAAATCCCAAAAAATCTCGCAGCACGGCCCTCATGGTGACAGTGATGCCCTGCAGGGACATGGGGACATCGGGACACCAAAACATCACAAAGAGACCCAAGAAATCCCAAAAAGTCCCAGAGCATGGCCTGCATGGTGACAGCAACGCCCTGCGGGGACACATGGGGACATTGGGACACAGGAAATCCAAAAGAGGCCCAAGAAATCCCAAAAAATCCCAGAGCACGGCCTGCATGGTGACAGCACCGCCCTGCAGGGACACAGGGACATCAGGACACCAAAAATCCAAAAGAGACCCAAGAAATCCCAAAAAATCTCGCAGCACAGCCCTCATGGTGACAGCACTGTGCCTGCAGGGACACAGGGACATCAGGACACCAAAACATCACAAAGAGACCCAAGAAATCCCAAAAAATCCCGTGAAATTTAAAAAACCCCAGAGCACGGCCCTCATGGTGACAGCAACGCCCTGTGGGGACATGGGGACATCGGGACACAGGAAATCCAAAAGAGACCCAAGAAATCCCAAAAAATCCCAGAGCACGGCCCTCATGGTAACACTGCTGTGCCTGAAGGGACATGGGGACATCAGGACACCAAAACATCCAAAAGAGACCCAAGAAATCCCAAAAAGTCCCAGAGCACGGCCCACATGGTGACAGCACAGCCCTGCAGGGACATGGGGACATCAGGACACCAAAACATCCAAAAGAGACCCAAGAAATCCCGAAAAATTCCAGAGCACGGCCCTCATGGTGACAGCACCACCTGCGGGGACATGGGGACATTGGGACACTGAAAATCCATGAGAGACCCAAGAAATCCCAAAAAATCCCAGAGCACGGCCCTCACGGTGACAGCAACACCTGTGGGGACATGGGGACATCGGGACACCAAAAAATCCTGTGAAATTAAAAAAATCCCAGAGCACGGCCCTCATGGTGACAGCACCACCTGCAGGGACCCATGGGGACATCAGGACACTGAAAATCCAAAAGAGACCCAAGAAATCCCAAAAAGTCCCAGAGCACGGCCCTCATGGTGACAGCAACGCCTGTGGGGACACACGAGGACATCAGGACACCAAAACATCACAAAATATCCCAGGAAGCTCCCCAAAATCCCGTGAAATTAAAAAGATCCCAGAGCACGGCCCTCATGGTGACACCGCCCGTGGGGACACACGGGGACATCAGGACAACAAAAATCCAAAAGAGACCCAAGAAATCCCAAAAAATTCCAGAGCACGGCCCTCATGGTGACAGCAACACCTGTGGGGACACGGGGACATCGGGACACCAAAAAATTCTGTGAAATTAAAAAAATCCCAGAGCGTGGCCCTCATGGTGACAGCACCGCGCCGGTGGGGACCCATGGGGACATCAGGACACCAAAACATCCAAAAGAGACCCAAGACATCCCAAAAAGTCCCAGAACAGGGCCCTCATGGTGACAGCACCACCTGTGGGGACACACGGGGACATCAGGACACCAGAACATCACAAAGAGACCCAAGAAACCCCAAAAAATCCTGTGAAATTTAAAAAATCCCAGAGCACGGCCCTCATGGTGACAGCACCGCCCTGCGGGGACATGGGGACATCAGGACACCAAAACATCACAAAGAGACCCAAGAAATCCCAAAAAAATCCCAGAGCGCTGCCCTCATGGTGACAGCAACGCCTGCAGGGACACGGCTGTCAAAATCCCACAAAAAAATCACAAAATACCTCAGGAAGCCCCAAAAAAGAAAAAAAATCCCCCAAAAAATCCCGCAAAATCCCATAAAAAAATGAATTCCAGAAAATCAAAAAAAAAATGCCATGAAATCCTCAAAAAGATCCCATAAAATCTCAAAAAAATCCCCTAAAAATCCTGTGGAATCCCAAAAAAAAGCTGTAAAATAAAAAAATATTCTGCAAAACGCTGCAAAATCATGGGAAATCCCAAAAAATCCCAGGAAATCACAAAAAAATCCCAAGAAATCCTGGGAAATCCCAAGAAATCCCAAGAAACTCCACAAAATCCCATAAAATCCTGGGAAATCCCAAAAAATCCCAAGAAATCCCAAAAAATCCCAGAAATCCCAAAAACTCCCAAGAAATCCCAAGAAACTCCACAAAATTCCATAAAATCCTGGGAAATCCCAAAAAATCCTGCAAAATCGGAAAAAATCCCGCGAAATTAAAAAAATCCTAAAAAACCCCAAGAAGCCCAAAAAAATCTTAGGAAATTAAAAAAAAATCCCACAGAATCCCAAAAAAAAAAAAAAAAGCCCCAAAAAATCCCCCCAAAAAAACTGTGAAATCCCCCAAAAATCCTGCAAAACCCTACAAAGTCCAAAAAAATGCTCAAAAATCCCAAAAAATGCTGCAAAATCCCAAAGACATTCCCCAAACCCCCTCAAAATCCCAAAAAACTCTGCAGAATTCTCAAAAATCCTGTGAAATCCCAAAAAATCCCCAAACCGGTCATAAAATCCCAAAAAATCCCGCAAATCCCCTCCCAAAAAAATCTGAAAAAATCCCCCAAAATAAAAAAAATAATCCTGGGTAATCCCCACAAAATCCCAAAAAAATCCCAAAAAAATCCCCCAAAAGTTTCATAAAATCCCATAAAATCCCAAAAAATCCCCAAAAATCCCGCAAAACCCCACAAAATCCCATCAAACCCCACAAATCCCTGTGAAATCCTACAAAATCCAAAAAAATCCCACAAAATCCCGTGAAATCCTACAAAATCCTACCAAACCACAGAAAATGCCATGAAACCCTGTAAAATCCTGCAAAGCCATGCAAAAATCCCACAAAATCCCACAAAACCCTGCAAAATCCCACGAAATCCCACAAAATCCCACAAAACCCTGCAAAATCCCATGAAATCCCACAAAATCCCCCAAAACCCTGCAAAATCCCATGAAATCCCACAAAATCCCACAAAATCCTGCAAAATCCCACTAAACTCCACTCAATCCCACGAAATCCCCTGAAACCCCACAAAACGCCAAAAAAATCCCACAAACGCCAAAAAAATCCCACAAACCCCGAAGGGCCCCATAGGCAGAGGAGCCGATCCCAAAAGGCTGAGGGTGCCCCGGGTCAAACCCCACAAAACTCTGCAAAAACCCCACAAAAAACCCACAAAAACCCCCAAAAAACCCCACAAAACCCTGTGAAATCCCACAAAACCCCCCAAAAACCCCACAAAACGCTGTGAAATCCCACAAAACTCCCCAAAACCCCACAAAACCCTGTGAAATCCCACAAAACCCCCCAAAAACCCCACAAAAAACCCTGTGAAATCCCACAAAAAACCCTGTGAAATCCCACAAAAACCCCACAAAACCCTGTGAAACCCCGCGAAGCCATGCAAAACCCCACAAAAATCCTGCAAAAACCCCACAAAAAAACCCCACAAAAATCCTGCAAAAACCCCACAAAAATCCTGCAAAAACCCCACAAAACCCCACAAAAAACCTCGCAAAACCCTGTGAAAACCCACAAAACCTGGCAAAACCCTGTGAAATCCCACAAAAAACCCACAAAACCCTGTGAAATCCCACAAACCCCCACAAAACCCCACAAACCCCAAAAATAATCCCACAAAACCTCACAAAAACCCCACAAAATCCGAAAAAAGGCCACAAACCCCGAACAGTCCCGCAGGGACAGGAGCCGGTCCCGGGATGGCTCTGGGCTCTCCCGGTCCCTGTCCCGGTCCCTGTCCCTGTCCCTGTCCCGGGCTTTCCCGGTCCCTGTCCCTGTCCCGGTCCCTGTCCCTTTCCCGGTTCCTGTCCCTGTCCCTGTCCCTTTCCCAGTCCCTGTCCCTGTCCCTTTCTGGGCTGTCCCGGTCCCTTTCCGGGCTGTCCCTTTCCCAGTTCCTGTCACTTTCCTGGTCCCTGTCCCTTTCCTGGTTCCTGTCCCTTTCCCTGTCCCTTT